GTGGTAAGACCTAGGTCCAGACCACTAGACATTTTCATTTTAAGGCACCAATATGCCAAAACACATGATTATTCAGATTGTTTTACATCTATAAATATGTGTGTTTCTCTAGGTACAATGTAAATTTCTGATTTAGATTAAGTATTTTTGGATTAAATGTATGAAAAGTTTGTGGAATATCAACCTAAGAAGTTAATTATTTTCTAGAACAATATTATAGACCTTTTAATTTGTTTATTTCTCTCTATTACCAATATTAAAATGGATTTATTGGCTGTTTTATTTATATATCAGTGGAAGCAAACAAGTTCATTAACATTTTCTATATATATGAAATCCAAACTGTAAAAGGCATTGTTAGACATCTGTTTTCAGTAATCTTTTACCTTTTTTAAAAAAATAAAAAATGACTACTGGTATTCTAAGATTTGTACGTATGAAACAATCACATCTCCATGGTTCTGATCGATAAACTGATTGAGCCCTGGTATGACTATGAGTCATAACTATGAGGATAACTATGAGGATAACTATGAGTCCTGAGCTCCTAAGGTACTGAGGAGTTGAGCTCTGGTACGTTGGTAAGTCTGACAGTTTGGATGAGGCTTCTAGAGAATCTGTTACACTAAATTTGCTATTGGATGGGTATAACATAAGAAGACTAGAGCTCCCAGCCACAAGAATCTCAAAGAACTCAGCATCCTCAATTGACATATGGTGTGTTCAAATATTCACACCATGATTAAAGTTGTGGTCTCTCACACAGGTTTATCAGACCACACAGGACAATACTGCACACTGGACCTTCCAAAAACAAAAGCAGCAACAACATATACATCAAGACGGAACCTTAACCACAACAATCTGCTGATCTTACAAATGAGCTCTCCACTGTAACGTGGGAACCTGTTTTGAGAACAAATAATGTGGAAGAGGCCTACTTTAATTTCAACAAAACGCTCCAGCTTGCAATTAATAATGCATGTCCAAAAAAAAGATTTCAGACTACACAAAAAAGGGGTAAACGACTGATGTATGACGAAGAAACTATGACACTTAAAAAGAAGTTTTTAATAGCACAAGACAAATTTCTCCTAACTGGTCATCCTGATGACAAGAAGATAGCTACAGATAAGAAGAAATCTTACGACCAAAAATTAAAAAAGGCAAGGCAAGAAACAAGTGCTGCATACATTGAACAAGCAGAAAACAAAGCCAAAGCCATATGGAACACCATCAATAGTGAGAGGAAAGGGAGGAAAGAGCTTGACAACAATTCTACAATAGAACTAAATGACAATGGAAAGAAACTTACTGACCCTAAAGATGTAGCAAACCGCTTTAATTATTATTTTGTAAACATAGCTGAGGAGACATTAAAACAAAACAGCAGATACAACACACCACCTATAGCTCAAAATCCTCCAGCTACCACATTAAACACTCTCTCTTCCTTCCGTCCAACAACACCTGACGAGATAGGCAGGACCATTCAATCATTAAAGAACTCTACATCATCAGGCATTGATGAAATATCTTCAAAGATCCTTAAAACATGTGCAGATGAATTAATAATGACGCTAATGAAGATTGTAAACATGTCGATGGTAGAGGGGACTTTTCCAACCAACTTGAAAACAGCCTTGGTTTTTCCTAAACACAAACAAGGGGACCTACAAAACATCTCTAACTACAGACCTATCTCGCTGCTCACATCTGTCTCCAAACTCATAGAGATGATTATAAAAGTAAGAATCCAGGAGCATCTTAGTCAAAACCAAGCATTGACAAATAGCCAACATGGGTTTGTTCCTGGAAAATCAACCACAACTGCTCTGATAGACCTTGTTGAATATATCATTGAGAACATAGAAAATGGCAACACTATCACCAGCCTGTATCTTGACTTAAGCAAGGCTTTTGATTCCTTGGGACATGATCTTATTCTAACTAAACTTCAAAATTTAGGAATCCAGCGAACAGCTCTGAAATGGTTTGCAAGTTATCTAAAAGGGCGAAGCCAAATGGTAGAAATAAAGCACACAACAAAAGGGGTTACAGATACTGTCAGATCTGAATTGCTACCGACTAACAGAGGAGTTCCCCAGGGTTGTCCTAGGGCCAGTTCTGTTTGGACTGTTTATTAATGACTTCCCAGAACACCTTGAGGAGTACAGAAAGATGGTCATGTATGCAGACGACACTGTGCTGCTTACAGCAAACAGAAACATAGATCAACTAGAAGTAAACACCTATATAGCTTTCAATATGACACAGGACTACTGTATGAAAAATGACTTAGTCCTCAATGAAAGTAAGACCAAGCAAATTACTTTTGGAAATAAAAAGTCTACAGTATCTGAAATGCCCAACCTGACAGCAGCTGAAGAAATTAAACATCTAGGTGTCATAATTGATGAAAATTTATCCTGGGATCGTCATGTAGCTTGTCTTTGCCAAAAACTCGGGCCAGCTCGCTTTGCCATAAAACGAACCAAAGAGACTAGTACCCCTGAGGCAACGAGGACTGCATACCATACATTGTTTGAAAGCCATATACGCTATGGTATCACTGTCTGGGGTGGATCCACTATGGACAATCTTAACCGGGTCCTGGTTATGCAAAAAAGGGCTATCAGAATAATAGCAGGCATAAGTAAAGAACAAAGCTGTAGAGATGCCTTCAAAAACCTGAACATCCTGACGGTGACTTCCATCTACATCCTAGAAACTGTTTTTTACTGTGTAACCAAAGACCCGCCTAAACAAAGAGATATACATGAATACAACACCAGATATGCAGGAAACTACGTGCTGCCTGGCCACAGAACAGCAATGTTTGAAAAGAAACCACTGTATGCAGGAGTGAAGATGCTTAACAAATTACCAGACCACTTGAAAATTGGAGGCCCGTTGCTGATGAAGAGGAAGCTACGGAGATGGCTGGTAGACAAAGCTTTCTACACCCTAAATGAGTTCTTTGCATGGCAAGACCACACACAACACTGAAGAGGCTTTTCCATTTCACTTTGTATCTGTAAAATTTGACGCTGTAACATTTCTTGATGAAATTGTAATAAAGAAATTGTCTATTGTCTATTCAAACACTTTCGGTCTGATTCTTATTTTCCTGCTACAGAGTTGCAAAATCTCGTTTTATCAATAGTTGAACCATCAAAATTTTCCACGAACCTTCTAAACTTAGACATTGATGCAGAGGTTCCAGTCACAAACCTCCCAGAAGAATGGCTAACTACTTAGGTGCTATCTTTGGCTGGACTATATGTTTGTACAATATAGTGGAACTCCTTCAGTGGATGTTTCTTAAAGAATATTCTTTGTATTAATAGAGGACTTACCTACATCATACACTGTAGGTGCATTAAGCTAATTAATGATGATTATACTGCTCCCTAACTAAAAACTTAACTAATGCCATGGGTGTAAAAAAATCTTATTGCTTGGTTGTAAGATTGAAGAATTGTTAACAGAGCACCATCTTAATATAATTTGAATAATCCAACCTAACACAACAGACCAAACTATAGATGGTGATGGTGTTTGTCTTAAAGGAAAAAATATATAAAAAAATTCTAAAATGTGTGAAATTGTATGTCATAATCTAATTAGGCAGCATCTGATAACTAGTAAAAGTGTTAATTTAAGTAAATTCTTGTTATTAAATAGTTTGACTTTTTCACTGTCGGAAACTAGATGAACAGTTGAAACAGCTGTCCTTGATTTCTGGTCTTCAAAAACATTTGTCTAGCCAAAGAGGTAGCTGATCTTCTTAGAGTCAGTCAAAATGCTCGTCATTCATTAATATTTGGCTTAACCTACTCACTTTGGTGAGTCTGAATAAAATTAAATATAATACTCAGTTCACGATGCAACCTCAACAATCCAACCTAAACCTGTGCTTACATTTAAGCACTTAATTTAATAAGTAACTCCAAAACAACTCAAGCTTTGGTAAACAACTTTTTGATGGCCTCCATTTTTAGACTTTTTACATTTCCAAACCATCATCACAAATTTAAAAATAAAAAATTAGCTGAAAACACTAGTACTGCAACAATTAAAAATATAACATAGAGTGATACACGACCTCTTAGCCAGTACTCTGCACACTGAAATTAAGATGTAAAAGGAAGAAGAGAGGTAGGAAGGACAAACTGTTCGGCAGTGTGAAAATATAAAGAAAATACAATCAAGTACAGCACTTGAAGCCTGGTGTGTAACCATAGATGGGATTAACAATTCTGGGATTAACAATAGATGAAAGTTTGAATTGGGATAAACACACACAGAAAGTTTTAACCAAAACTAACTCTGGAATGGCCGCATTATCAAAAATGTCCTTCAGAATTATGCTTAAGCTTAAAGGAGATGATTCCGCAAAAGAACATTTTGAGAAATTACAAATTTTTACAATTTATGGGCAATATATTTATAAAACAATTCTTATCGCAAAAAAAAAAATGAATCCGAGCAAGTAATAAATTCAGTGCATTCTTATAATTTGAGGAGGAGAAGAGAATTTGTCCAGCCTCACAAATTAAAATTTTTTGAAAAAACACTCATGTTGGTAACGAATTTCTAAAATTTGTCCCTGAATTCATAAAAGAAACAAACCTATCTAAATTCAAGAAGATTCTAAAAGAGCATATAATAAATCTAGCTTTATATTCTTTTGATGAATTTTCCACCTCCTATAAATAGAAATAGTATTTTTATTTTAAGTACTCTGACACTATTCACTGTACCACCAATGTATATGATTTATGACGAATAAACATGTTTGAATATGAATATGAATATGTATCTTCTGGGTACTCCTCAGTTGGCAATGAAGATGGATTGACTACTAAGGTGAACATTCAAGCCACACAAAAACATGTAGCGGATGTTCTCACAGTACTCTCTTATCTACATGTAAGGTCAGATAATCGAGACTCTATATTAGTAATAATATTTATAGAATCAAGTAGGTATCTAACCTGGCTCAGTAACTGTGTAGCTGACATAGCAAGAGCCGTCCTTACGATCCTTGAAGCCTATCTCAGCCTTGCTCGGACCCTCGACTGAGATGGCTAGGGACCCAGCTCCAGCCTCCCGAGTCCAGACGTTGAACTCACACGGCTCTCCTTGTGTTCCCCGCTCCAGTCCCGGACCACCAGCATGTACCCGGTGAGCTCCTCCGTCACGCAGAGGACCTACTGTGAACTGGAATGGAGATCCTGTAAACATGACAGACATTGTATCAGATTAATATCTACGGTTAATAATGTCTGATAATTGTGTATAGCATGTGTTTTGTAACAATGTTTGAAAATCAAGCTTTTAGCAAACTCTTCGTGCTAGGTTATATCTCTATCTCAAGTCTCAAGTAATATGATCTGGCTGTTTGAAGTTTTATTCAATTGTCATTCTTAAGTAGCACTATTTTTTATTATAACTGTGGTTAGTACATTTTAGATTTATTGGTCTATCATATGTGGTTTATGATATCCCTTCAAATAGTTCTACGAAGTGACTAAAAACAGTGTAGTAGTTTACTAACCAGGAATGTGGATGTCCTTGTATTTGACTGACACAGTGTGGACTCCCAACTCCTTGGGTACAAAGTGGACAGCGTACAGACCATCCTCTACCTCATTGATCTCTGCATCTTCAGTCACTCCTCCAGGCGATGTCACAGTCGCAGTCAGGTCAAAAGAGGTGATTCCTGAACAAGCATAAAATGTTTACCATAGTTGTTAACAGCAAGAAATGAAAATGTAGTGATGATAAGAATACAATTTTTCTGTCATCGGAAAACATTTTACTAATTGTTTAGGAACGTAGTATTCATCAATACCAGGATATGACTAGTGCTGTACTTGTAGCGAGCCTTGCATTTGTAAAATGATAGTTCTCTGGCATTTATTGCCAATTTCCCTTCAACATGGTTTTTCTTGTTTTTGGATAACAGAATTCTATCAGACATCAAGTTGTTGATTCATGGCTCGATGCCTGGGCAGTTGAATAAAAAAGGAGTTTGGTAAACTGAATTAGTAAAATTTTTTACAGCAGTAGACTATGTGTAGGCAAATGAACTTTTCACAACCCTCGTTAAATCTAGGATATTGATATAGGTCTCAGAAAGGATAAATATTATGTTTTGAAAAAGAACTCCCTAGTTTTTGATAATTATTTGAACACATTCATATTATTCTGACCAATATACAGAATTAGAGGGAAATAGAGTAGATTTTTGAAACACTGGTCACTCACTAGTACACCTTGGTATGTGAACTGTTTTTAACCCTTGAAACCAACCAATGAGTTCACTTAAACCCAGAAGTATAGACATTTAGGACTGGCTTGATTTCACAGCCTCCTAGAAGCCCACACACATAAACCACTGAACTTTTCCCTAGGTGGATCAGGTTATGTCAAGAAATTTTCTTATACAGAAAAGATTGACATTGGACATTCACCATCTTTCTCAGAAGATCTTGGTTGCAGTAGCATTAGTCACTCCCTACATATTCAATGTTTTCCAATGGTTGAGGGAGATCCAATTTTAGGATATTTAACGAATTCAAAATAGATTACACATCATACAGACTCTAGAGTAAAAAAACTTATCATATCCACTCCAGTTTTCAATTTATCATTACATTAGTGTAGAGAGTAAAAATTTGAAAATCAAAAATCCAGAACACCAAAAATCTAAATGCCCGTTGTCAACTTTTTTAGTTTGTGCCTTTAAAGCCTATGAAGAATTTGGATGGCTGAAAATGAGTCATAAGCTGAAGCTGTATAAAATAAACCAGTTTTTCAAAATGGGTTTTCAGTGGTTAGATTTTTAGTGTATGTATTTGTGTATATTTGTATTTGTATGTTCAGGAGTCCAAATTTCACTAATTTCTTAATGAAAAGAAATAAAATATATAGCTTATGTAAGTGTAGAAAATGTCTTTCTTTATTTTAATTTTATCCTTCTAATATACCAAAGGTATGACCAGATGCCTAAAAAGCAATAAAGCATACGTTAAAAATCTACAAATTGAAAGTACAAACCCCGTTCGGTTTCAATTGGTTTGTAATTTTGACTCTCTACTGTAATACTGCGCTACAATACGCTGTAATACACTAGCTACAATCATTACATTTCATATCATAAATCCAAACCTAAATTATGAGGAAAACTATATGTCGGTAAATATGCAACTAACCTGGCATTTTGAAGGTGAGTTTGCACTCGCTGCCGACCTCGGTGATTGGCACTGCCTCTCTCTGACGTTGGATCTTCTCTCGCTGACGGTTACTGCCTTCGCCCGTCACCTTCACTGTGAAGGGTGATCCTTCCACGTGGTGGTCGGCAAACTTGAGGTTGACGATGTAGTAGCCTGGCTCTGTGGGCTTGTAGGAAATGTTGAGGGTTCCGTCTTCGTTGTCTTTGCACTGGATTTCTGCTTTGCTTGGTCCCTCGATGGACAAGGACAAACCTCCGTATCCTGACAAAATGGAACACATTTTCATTGAATTTGTTTTGTTGAAATAGTAATTATATTAATCTGTTTTTACCACAATATACAACTTATTTAATTACCACGCTTAGTTTTAAACATGCTTTACAGTATCTACAGTATTCAGGGTTGCATTATGAAAGAAAATACTGATTATTACTGTACAAGAAAAAGGAGAAATACATTTAAATATTCCAGATTATACAAACGTGTGTTCTAACCAAAATTGGCGTTTACAAAACGATAACCGTACCTACATTATAGTATGGATTAGAGTGTAGAGTAGTGAAAAAAATATCAAAAAGAACGGTTGAATTTCGAGGAAAAAAATAAAAGGAAAAAAATTGGCCCAACCTAAGAAGATGAAATTTGGAGAGTCATTAATAATTTCAAAATCAGAGAGGTATATTGGTATATTACCTAACTTCAACAGCTGATGTAGCAAACAGACATTAGTTGGGTGGTCAGTTTTGCTGTAAGGTAAGTCCACTGAAGGAGTTTGGATATTATTTATAAGAATGCTTTAAGTTGAAACCTTTGGTTTGTATTATACAGGGTGTTTTTTAAAAACTTGCTTCTTTTTTTATGTAAAAACTGCAATATATAGAAATATGCAGTTTGCGGGAATCATCTATTGACGTAGGGGCCACAATTGTAGTGAATTTAATGTTTCCATTCACCACCTTTCTCCCCCTACCCTTAACTAAAAATTTTAGAATTGCAAGGTACTCCTTTGGACATATCAAATGAGAGGGCATGAAAAAAGAAAAAGAATAGCGCAAACTAGAGGTCTCTACGTAAATTCAATCAAAGTTATGGCAGTTAAAAATTTTAGCCTCCCCCCCCCCCCCCGTCTTTTTGAGAAAAACACATTTTTTTAAACGGCTATAGCTCAAAAACAGTAAGAAATAGCAAAGATTTGAAAGAATTTTTATTGTCAGGAATTAAATTTTCTACAAAACACTGTCGGTGTTTTCCGAAAATCACACTCCTTCACCTTAAAAAAACGCCCTACTTCTAAAATTTGTAAAATTTCTAAAATTTTTGATGTGTTTTTAATTGAACAACCATTTTTCAAAGGTGTCATGCTTGTTCAATAAAAACCACATTCACTTAACTTTGAAATCACAACAACGTGTGGCATCTACGTCAATAGATGATTCCCGCAAACTGAATATTTCCATCTATTGCCGTTTTTATATAAATAAAGAAGCAAGTTAAAAAAACACACCCTGTATTTAAATTTAAAAAAAAGATGGATCTTTTAAAGTGACAGGTAGTGGAAATGGCCCGACCCAGGCACCTCTTAAACCGTAAAGCCCAAAACAATGTACCTCAGCATAACTAAATAAAAACTATGTGTCTGACATGTGCTGCAACCTGTTTGAGAAAGCTGAAACTAGACCACTTGTGCAATCACTTCAGCAACATCGTTAGAGAAGGCAATCATTAGGTGTGATTGATGACCGAGCGGTCTATGACACTTCCTCCCTGACATAAGATAGCGCTGTAGATTGAGGGGTTTAATTTCATCTCAGCTGTCGGTCTTGGTGTACAACTTTTGATGAGTTCATCTGTCTGAGTCAGACTTTGTGGAAGACTTTAAATAACTAGTGAACGGCTGTGGTTTCTAATTATTTATTGGTATCTTTATGATCTGTGTTTATGATTGGCCATTTTGTGTATGTGGAAGTGTATTTCTTCTCTTTTTCCACGGATCAAGCAAAGTAAGGATCGAGTCCTTTACAGTAGAAGAATGAACTGTACCAGCGTATATCAGCTGTATATCAGCGTCAGCACCAGTACGCAAGCACATGAAATTGCTGACACGGATTTGTAGCCCTTAACACCACTGACTAAGCAAAGCACTGACACAAATATAATGAAACCTATAAACACATTACATTTGTCTCAAAGTGTCACATTGATTGGAACATTAAAATGTTTCGATGGAAAAGAATTACGTATGGTAGAATCTTTGACATTTGCACTGACCAGCATTCTTGGTGTCCACAGTGAAGGTGTTGTCCTGATGAGTCTTGCCTTCAATCAGAGCGGTTCCAGTCACCTTCACCTTCTTGGCGTCTCCAACCTCTTTGTCACCGACCTTGATCTTGAACGGAGAGTTTGTAATGTGCTTTCCCATCTTCTTCACTGAAACTGTGTGCTCACCAACCTCTCTTGGAGTGAATGAGATACCTATAACAAAAATTTAATAAAAAAATAATATTGCTTTTAATCTTATTTTAATTGTAAGATTTTGCATAATCCTAAAATTTAGATTTGTCAACATATTTAGTATTGTTCTATGCCACAGATAAGTAAGGTACAGAGTATACACGCTTATGGGACAACCGTATCCTTCAGCTCTGCTAAGTTGTGCTGAAAATATACCAAGGCCAATAAATATCCAAATAAATATGTCCAATAAATATCATTCTATTCTATTCAATCATACTTGTGACAAGCAAGGAAGAGCCTGAGCAGCGAGCACTTTGTGGAAATTCCTATCACACTGGGCACAGGGTCTTTCTCCCCCGTGAGCGTTGTAGTACACGACTGCAAGGGGGTGGTGTTTAACTTTGTTCTAGACACCAGCACTAGTACTAGACACCATATAAGTGTACCATTAAGTGTATCCCCTGTTCCTTACTTCTCTGAGTATATGCTAAACAATGATATTTGTTGTGCTGAAGCATGGTTTTTTCACTCTACAAATGAAAATGTGTATTTTAAGACTATTCAAGATATTGAAAGACGATTACAAAATATTAATTAGAAAGGAGTAAAATTTTGAAAGAATTTACTTAATTTTAGCATAGACTAAAACGTGTCTTGTCACTACTGCAGAAAACTAAAAAAAAAATACCATTAAAAGTAGGGTTTTACAGTACTTCCATTGTAAAGTTTCAACTCAAAGGTATTCTCATACCTTTAACACAAATGTTCTACATGATTAAAACATTTGAGATTTACTACACTTGAAAGTGAAAATATTTTTTTCTATTTCAACTGCCCGTCACCATTAACTGGTCTTTGCAGTGATCTACAGAAAGTGAAGTACCAGTTGAAGTCATATGGGCGAACTAGTGATGACTGCAATGATAAGATGTAGTTGCAGGGCCGATTTACCGAATAGGCACGGTAGGCACGTGCCTAGGGCGCGAGGCAATTGGCTTTTTTGGGGGGCGCCAAAAATTTGGAAAATAAAAAAATTGGTGGTTGTTTGCATGCGATTGCGGTAAACTTCTGATAATCCCTCGCGGCCGTGTAGACATCGTAATCGTCTCCCACGATTGTGACAAAATGGTAATCATCTCCCTCGGTCATGTGGAGATCATCATCCTCTTCCGCAAATTAGGCAAAGTACTGAGCTTTTCCCGTGATCGTGTGGCCATTATCATCGCCTTCCGTGATCGCGGCAATATTCTGATCATCCCTCGCGGCCATGAAGAAATCATTATTGTATCTCCCGCGGTCCTGTAGACATCATAATCGTCTCCTGCGATTGTGGAAAAATTGTAATCATCCCCTGTGGACATATGGAGATCATCGTCTTCCGTGAATGAGGCAAAATTCTGATTTTTTTCCCGCGGTCATGTGGACATTATCATTGTCTTGCGCGATCGTGGCATAATTCCGATCGTCCCTCGCGGCCGTGTAAATCATTATTGTATCTCCTGCGGTCGTGTATACATGGTAATCGTCTCCCGCGATTGCAGCAAAATGTTAATCATGTTCCGCAGTTGTGTGGAGATCGTCATCGTCTTCCGCGATTGCGGTAAAATTCTTGCTGTTTCGCGCGGTCGTGTGGACATTATCATCGTCTTCCGTGATCGTGTCAATATTCTGAATATCTCGCGGCCGAGTGTAGACATATTATCGTCTCCCGCGGTCACGGAAACTGTTTCATGCGCGATCACGGTAATTTGAAAACTCCAGGTAGAAATACAAAATTCACACATAATTCCCGGTTCATAAAATTCCCGCATGATTCCCGGATTTCCCGGTCGGTGGACACCCTTATATATATATATTGCAAAGGGGCGCTACTATTAGTTGTGCCTAGGGCGCTGACAGGGCCAAAAACGGGCCTGTGTAGTTGGTCAATCTCAAAGTAGTAGTTTGCTAATAATCAGCCCAATATGCCACCAATGATCTACCATGACACATATAAATCATAAATGTAAATGATATAAATTTAAAAATTATTTTTCAATCTAATAACATTAAAAACTTGGGTATTCAATTTTTATCATGTGTGTTATGTAAATGACAAAAACCAAAATCTGTGATAGAACATTTGATGTTTAACAAATTCATTTAGGAAAATAAAAATGAGGGATACAGTACCAATTGTATTTTGAGGGGTAAGGAAGTGTAATCTATAAAAAATACAAATTTATATAAGTGGAAGATATTTAACCCTATACTAGATAGAAATATGTCTTCCTTACCTAGGTTTCCTTGAGGCAGCCTCTTGAGGAAGCAAGGTTCCTCGAGGCCACTGGGTGCCTGGATGGAGGCGTTCAGAGCTCGGATGTCTGACTCAGTCACTTTGCCCGGCAGAGAGACCTCACTGCAAGACCCAACAGATATCTGGTTCCTCTTGCGGCCCTCACCTAGAATCATTGTGTTTGTCATTTATCATACCAGACAGTGGCGGCTGGTCCATAGGGACTCTGGGATGGAGTCCTCCTATTTTATAGACAGTTTTAAAACTAATAATAATTAACATAAATATGATTTTTATTCCTCTATTTGAATGTACATAAACGTTAGCAGGGTCAATGTTTTTAGGACGGGTGATAATGGACGCAACATGTTTTTGCAACAAAAATAGACACGGAGACTCAGTAGATATGAGTCCAAACTCCCATATAAACTGCATGGAATAATTTGTCCAATCACAGTGCGACTTCAGGCTCTAATGCAATAAATATAGGGCATGTGGGACTCCGTCCAAACAGTAGTTTAAAAAGAATATCAAAAAGGTTCATAATATTTCATAGTTATTGTCAATCTAATTTAAATTTGACTGCCATAGTAGTAAAAGGGACTTGTGAACTGCTATGGCGACCCTAAAAAACTCTTGAGATTTCGCTTCCATACATGACACAAGACCAGTTGCCGATTATAAATGTAATGTTAGATATATTACCTGTTACTTTGGAGACAAAAGGACTTCCCTTGATATGTCTTTCACCAAACTTGACAGCAATCTTGTACTCGCCAGGGGCGGTGGGAAGGTACGAGACAGCGACTGTACCATCTTTGTTGTCATGGCAACTGATATCAGCCTTGCTTGGACCTTCCACGGCCATTTGCAAACCACCTGTAAAAGTTTACATTCAAATCAATTACCTCTTATATTTGGAAATTCCCACTTTTTTCTAAGTTTAATTCTAACTTTCAGATAAATCTGACTTGAATCACAGCGTTAACTTTCAGTATGGTCTTAAAATGCACAATAACTACATGGTTGTATATTTTAGAATCTATGGAGGTTTTGTGAGATGTTTTAATAAGTTGTTAACAACATTTTTTCACTGTTCAAACAGTAAATTAGGGTTGGTTCCAAGAGTCATTGTTATTGCCACACAATAAGAAAGATCAAAATATTATATGAAGTTAAGTCAAATACTTGGGTTAACAAGTTTGTATAATAGTTTCCAATTTAATAACACATTATGTGATGAAAAACTATGGAAAACAATCTAGGAATTACATCAAAATGTATTTACTAGTAATCATAGAATGCCATATTGTTTAGAAAGCTATCTATAGTTACAAAAATAAATTAATTTGTAGCTGGTAATCTCAGAGGGTTAAAGATTTGAACAGCTTATATGGGTGTGTTATCTGAATAAACTCTTCCTTAGTACAATACTCTACAGAGTTATCTTAAATTTTATCTTCCTTAGTACAATACTCTACAGAGTTATCTTAAATTTTATCTTCCTTAGTACAATACTCTACAGAGTTATCTTAAATTTTATCTTCCTTAGTACAATACTCTACAGAGTTATCTTAAATGTTATCTTCCTTAGTACAATACTCTACAGAGTTATCTTAAATTTTATCTCCCTTAGTACAGTACCCCACAGAGTTATCTTACATTTTATCTTCCTTAGTACAATACTCTACAGAGTTATCTTAAATTTTATCTCCCTTAGTACAGTACTCCACAGAGTTATCTTACATTTTATCTTCCTTAGTACAATACTCTACAGAGTTATTTTAATTTTTTAGATACAAGTTTATACTCATGCTTGATAAGTGTATGTACACAAAGTCAAATTATGTCTGTAGTCTTTGCTTGGTATAAAATTCATGTGTTACTTTGTAGCTTGGAATATGTGTGAAATAAATCACTCAACAACAAAGGTGTACCTCAGAGGTTGGAGCTCAGCTGTTCATAACCAAAACTCATTTCATGTTTTCAGTCATTAGAACGATTTGATTATATTATCTTCTCCCTATCCCAATTAGCATATTCACTCCCTACCATATGTTAAAAAATATAGTATTTTGGTTTGTACTCTTTGTAAAAGAAGAGTGAATGGATATTATAATTGTGACACTTTGGTCTATTTACCTGCTCCAGCACCCTTGGTGGAGATTGTAAAGTTGCCAGGCTCTCCACTGACTCCATGGGTTAGACCAGGACCGTAGGCCGTCACGTAACCACTGCTGATGGAGTCTACGTGGAACTTGAACGGGGATCCTGAAACAGAAACATCCATGTGAAAATAACATGACCACTAGGGGTGTATTGACTAGTGGTTAGCTTGCCAGACTTGTAGAAGGGACAGGTCCAAGCATATCTATACAGTTTTGAAGGGTTTGAATTGTTTTAACGTAAAATACATTGGTGCTCTTACAAAAGATTTGGAACAAAAATAATTTGATAAAACAAATGTCAATGAATGAGGGTTTTAATTTCTAGTAAGTACATGCTCATGCTATTTTGTGGTGGCAATGATCCTCCTTTTATTTTAGATTCACACTCTGGCATAATATACCCAGGTGTCATAAAACTCCACAGTTGTAATAAATACATATGAGAAGAATACTCCCTAGTCTCATCTGATTTTGAGTAATCAGAACAAAATGGTGGAAAAACATGATAAGCACAAAACACTTAATACAAATCAGTGCATCGGGATTGATGGACTACAGCTTGGATTAAGGGTTTTGAATTAAATTGATTTAATTTATTATTCACCAATTTTCTATCACTTAAATTTCTTTGATATGACTTACATAAATTAAAAAATAATCAAGCATTAATTGGAAATGGTTTGGCCAATAAAATGACTTTGATGTAAACACATAATTAATTTGTTGTCCCACCATTCCATTCTGATTGGTCAGAAATACAAGGGACTCGGGGTATTTTACATAACTGTTTATTGTAGCTGTGAAGTTGCAAATTTGTAGTGGGTTCAATGCTTAAATTCATTAAAAAATAGCAACGTTTTTGTGGTACACTCTTTTATTTTATTTCAAAATCTCTTTTTTATTTTAAAATTAACCATCAAGATGCAAAGCTTGTAAAACTTAGTTTATAATTAAATTAAGCCTTTACAAAAATATATAAAGTCTACTCTTTGCCCAAAAACAGGGTGTTTTATAGGCAGCCCTGAAAATTTTAACCGTATATTCATTGTCCAGTACACGTTATAAAACTATGAAAGCAGAAGAACCTTAATAATAATTATTAAAAAAAACACACAGACACACAAATGTGCACTATTAGTTGGTAACAGATTTTGCCCAATTATCCGAAATAGGCTACTTTTGTAATAATGATGTAAAAATGCTGATCTGTAACATCATAACTAATTCTAAAGGACTTAAAATATAACAGTTTTACTAGACATATACATAGAGTTAACATTATGCATCCAAATTTTGCCTACGCACTTAGCCATTACTGAAGCAAAATGTGAAATGAATGCCATTTCGTGATGGGCAACATGATCTTTGACTGGTTTGCTTCTTTCATAAGGCTTTTTAATCAAATAATGCACCACTAAAGGATTTACATTAAAAACCATGGTGTCTTTTGAATATATCCTTGTTCATTAAGCAAAGATTCTATTTTGATCGTAAAGTACAATGTCACTGAAATCTAAGAAAGTTCCCATCTGCTTTGTTAGAATTCATTTAAATAGGTTCATAGTAAAACATGTTCCACTATAAATTCACACCCTGTAACAATAATTAAGCCCACACTTTATATTTCAAAAATATGTCAAATTTTATCAAGACAAATCATCAAACAAGCTATTTACAGCTGATTATTTTTTTCTGGATAGATATTATGGAGAGAACCAACTCAGTGATTAGATCTTATCATATCTCAATAATCAATAAGCATAGAGTAAAAATAAAACAAACCAGTTATTTTTATTTTTAAATTCATTTGAAGAGTGTCAAAGTATTTGTAAAATATATTTTAAAGTGAAGAAACTGATTTTCGGGGAACAAAATTTTCTTCCAATGGATCGAGCTAGTTTGGAAACATATTCTAGTTGATGTTGAATTATGAAATGTGTCAAAATGTTATACGAATAACAAATCTGAGAATAATTTGACAACTATTGGGCCTACACACACAAAATATATAGGCAATATAATACAACTTTATAACAAACACTTAAGTTTAAATGTTATTCATTGAGTCACTAATTTGGGGCTTGAGAATTCTTTATGTGATTTAGATCTAATAAGAGCAAGGGTTACTTTGAACATGTCACAGAGCTATTTATTAAAATAAAAATTCAAAAATATTATTTTATTAAAATAAAGTGACTATATTGGGATACTGCTTTACAGTGTTACTTGAAGGATATGATTTACCATCAAAAATATTTAACCTAGTTTAACAATAGATTATTGGCATAATATTGTACAACTTAAACAAAACTGGTTTCAGTAGAGTACCAACATACTTAAAAAAACATGTTCAATTGGAGTAAGTGAAACTTGCTCATAAATCATATTCATATGAGAATAAAACCAATACGTTAATGGTGATGAAGACTCTTTTATTGATCGCTTTAAACACATTCAATATTTTTGGATCAGCTGACAATTTTGAGACTATTTAACTCTAATGAAATCAATAACATTTTCTTTTACGAATCAAAACGGGAAAAATTCTATACAATAAACATTAATAATTCCTTAAAATATTTTAGAGGGGTGTACAAAGTTGGCATTTCCTTAAGCTTTAAGGGAACATTTTTATTGTACAATAGGCAATTATTTTTTCATTTTTTAGGTATGCTGATTTTTTTCTTGAAAATATTTAAATATTAACTATTTTACAAAAAACATTACACATAATTTTGTAATTTAAACAAGTTAAAGTATCCGTGAAAGGATAATAAGAATAAATTTTCAAAACATAAAAAAACTAAGAAATAAATTGTGTGAGAGGTGACTCAAGATGCTATCCAATATGACCCAGGTTTGGCTAAATCACGATTCACTTCAACCATTCCAGTATAATCAAAATTTAAAATGGGGAGGATTCCGTGCATGTAGTGCTTGGATTGGCCATCCGGACATAATTGTCGAAAGCCATCATATTCCCTGCAAGTTAAAACTCAATGACTGAACAAATCCCCCCTCCTTTTCCTTTTAATTATTTAAATCTCAATGGTGCATAAAATTATTCTAGTCTTGTTAACTGGACAAATGAGCCAAATACATTTGTTTAGTGTTATATGGTTTGCTAAAAATGTCAAGGGAATATTCTGGATAGTCTTTTTAGCTAGGATTTTGTTCTACGGATTTATTTAAAATCAAACTAATGAATGATTTAACAGTTTGTTGACAATTAAAAATAGACAATATGTAAGGCAGTGGATACCAAAGTAGACCTTCTTTAGCCAATACAATATACAGGGTGGCTGAAAAGTAACTTACACCCCGATTAAAATATAGAAATTGGGTCATTAATAAAAAAATGGCAGTTCAAAATAACTTTTAATAACCATTGTCTTCATAATTTTTAGCTGCCATTTTATTATTAATAGTCTGATTTCTGTTTTCTTTATGTTCATTGTTATGTTTTGTCAATACCTGTAAAATGATACCAAACTCGACTATACTTGCTATTTGAAAATGTTGAGCCACCCCCTACCCCCGCTACCCCTAATGGCAAAATTTTAGAACATGACCATAATTATTTTAGCCCTACATACCCAAACAAGTTGCCGCAAACCGATTTAAAATATCTCAAATAGTTAAAAAGTTAAAGGGGGTGCAAGTTAATTTTCAGTCATCCTCATGGTTATTTGGATTTGAAACGTTTTAGAGCGCCATTTTGTTATTAGTTGGCCGATTTTGGTTTTCTTTATGTCTATTGTTATGTTTTGTCAAGACCTGTAAAATAATACCAAACTCGACTATACTTGTAATTTGAAAATTTTGAGTTACTCCCTGGCCCTGCTACCCCTAAGGTCAAAATAAAAAAAAATGACCATAATTATTGTAGCCCCTCATATCTAAGAAGGTTGCCACAAACAGATTTCAAATATCTTAAATGGTTGAAAAGTTAAGGGGGGTGTAAGTTACTTTTCAGCCACCCTGTATGTGCATGGCTTTTACATTAGTTTTATTTCATCATTAGAGGGTCTCTCTGGATTAAAAAGGCAAGACCAACATAAGTGGAACATTTTAAGCATAACATAAATATTCTTATATTGGATATTTCATAACCAATTAGGAAATGAAGACAACTTAAATTGCAGCATCAACCCCACGAGGCTGATGTGTTGTTCGTGTTTAAAAAATTAGTTTCAAATGTAGAAAACACTGAGCAATAAAAAAATTATGAAATCTATGTGAGTACAACCTCATTATCCCTAGAAGCAGATTGTTTTTATATGTCCAAAAGTTTATCTTTTTTAAATGCTACTCGGGAAAAACTACAGATGAAACTGCAATTAACAATAGTAATAAGGGCAATGATGATTGTATAACAAATTGGAAATATTTTACAAATCAAATCCGTAAAAGTGTCATAAGATAATATTAGTAAAATGAACCAGTTTTGATAAGAATTCTGATTATGAATTACTTCTTATAATCACAACACACACTAATAGGATATATTTATAGAAATTACCTATTGATGAATCCATATTTCATATTTCCATATTTCAATACCTATAAAACCTAAATAACATCCATACAAATAATCCTTCTAAACTGAGAAGTTTTACAATATAATTAATATTATATATATTTGGAGGTGATTTTAATGTAAGATATAAGATAAGATGATTTCAATCAAGCTAACCAATTTTAATTGAGTTATTAAAATTTTTTTAGTCAACACACAGAAAATAAATGTCAAAAAAGAAACAGCAATCTATAATTTAATAAAAAAGTTATTAAAGGAAATATTTAATTAATGTTAAATAACCATATTCAGCCCATTTTCATTTGTCATACAATAGACGAATACCCCTAAGAGACTGTTGGAGTGAAACAATTATAAATTGAATTGAAATATATCGCTATATATTTATACTATTTCATAATTTTCATTACTTTTTTTATTATTATTTTATTTTTATTAAATAAAGTATCAATATATTGATACTTTTGATGAATAATTTGTAATTCTATAAAGTTAAAAAAATGTGAAGCAGGTTAAGACGAGGTTTATTTGAAATTAAGGCCTGATTAACTGTAATAGTTTTA